GGGGATGCATTCACGCCACCCACCAAGGTCGTAAGGGGATGCATTCACGTCACCCACCAAGGTCATAAGGGGATGGATTCACGTCACCCACCAAGGTCGTAAGGGGATGCATTCACGTCACCCATCAGGGACGTAAGGGGATGCATTCACGCCACCCACCAAGGTCGTAAGGGGATGCATTCACGTCACCCATCAGGGTCGTAAGGGGATGCATTCACGCCACCCATCGCCCAGAAGCTGTCTCTGATCCTGGTTGTAGGCATCACTCCCTTCACGGATCGCTGGGGTGGAGTTTAGCCAGTAGGACATGGAGGGGTGTGAATATGAAGATTGTTCCGATTGTGAGATATGCAGGTCGCTTCAGACGGGGGGGCTGCCCAGCCCACGGATTATGTGAGAATAATGGGGATGCGGGTGTTAGCTGTAAGATCCCATGACGCCTGTCTGAGTGCTGCCTGGGACCCCTCCCCACAGATAAGCTGGAGAATGGGGATGTGTATCAGCGGCGCAGAGGCCCCCAGGTCAGCGCGCCGGGGGACCCAGATTCGGCCTCCAGCCCCCTGGAGCGTGAGCAGCCGGGCAGGGCAGCCAGCAGCTGGCGGCGCATCCTGCTGCTGATCCTGGCCATCACCATCCACAACATACCCGGTACGCCCCCCTACTGCCCGCCGCCTGTCTGCTCCCTCCAGCTGCTGATCCTGCTTCCATCCATCTCTCCCTCTCCTTCCTCTTCCTCTGTCCCCTTCTCCTCTTCTTCCTCTTCTCTGTACTCTTCCCTCTCCTTCCTCTTTCTCTGTCCCCTCCTCTTCTTCCTCTTCTCTGTACTCCCCTCTCCTTCCTCTGTCTCCTCCTCTTCTTCCTCTTCTCTATACTCACATCTCCTTCTTCTTCCTCTGTCCCCTTCTCCTCTTCTTGCTCTTCTCTGTACTCTTCCCTCTCCTTCCTCTTTCTCTGTCTCCTCCTCTTCTTCCTCTTCTCTGTACTCACATCTCCTTCCTCTTTCTCTGTCTCCTTCTCTTATTCATCCTCTTCTCTGTACTCACCTCTCCTTCCTCTTCCTCTGACTCCTCCCCTTCTCCGTACTATTCCCTCTTCTTCCTCTGACTCCTCCTCTTACTCCTTCTCTTCCTCCACCCCTTCTCCATACTCTCCCCTCTCCTTCCTCTTCCTCTGTCCCCTTCTTTTCCTCCTCCTCCTCCCCCTCTTGTTACTCTCCATAAGAACACCTCTCTTTGCTGGTCCGTTTATTTCACTCACTTCTGGTTCAGCACTAATTGATTTTTCCCTCTACCCATGAGGACTTTCTTCTCGTAGCTTAATGAGCCGATGCCAAACTTCCCTTGGTGAGGTACAGTGTCTCTCTAAGGATTCCGCTCGATCTGTCGTGGGAATGAGACACAATGGACGCGCCGTAAACGCTCTTAACGAGATGGCCGCCAATTTGGCTGAGGATTTAATTAGCAGTCAGACATGAGACAGGTGAGTTATATACCTCAGCAGTCATGCTACGCCCCAGTCCCAGCCACTGTCTCGCATTTCCGTATCACCAGAATGAGACACGTCACCCCCTGCTGGCAGCCAGGATATTTACAGCCTAAATTCTGCATTGGCCTGGTCCTGCCGGGACCCTCTTCTGAGGATTAGAACCCCTCCCCAGCCCTAACCTTAACCATAAGTAACCAAACAAAAAAGACTCTTGGCATTTTTACTTCTTTGATCGCTGTCACAGATCTTTGTGGGGACCTGGAAAATGGTCCCCACAATGTCAAAATAACAGGTTTTTAGTATATTGGGGGAGGGGGCATTTGGTCCTTACAATGTAATATAACCCTAATTCTCACACACACACACACACACACACACACACACATTTATCTATCCTCTGTATGGCCTTTAAGGACACAGATTTAAGGGTTGTAAAGGTTGTAAAATTAAACATTGGACTAATTATAAAATGAGTTTATATAAACTTTATCATTATATGAAATATAAATAAAGCCAACATTTAGTCATAAGATAAGATGAATCCCTCAAAGGGAAGTTTTGGGGTTACAGCTGCAGTTCTAAGCAGCATCAGAGAACAGACCAGCCACCAACCAAATGGCAGCCATAGTCTCAGACCTGAGGTTGTACTGTACGATTCGATTAATCTACTGATTTACTCTGAAGATTCAGATTGCAGTTGGTGCAAAGCAGGAATCAATATACCATTGCAGGCTGTACAATCAGTCACACAAAACGTGAGTCTGATTCACAGGCAGTGCAAAGACACCAGGGGATCCGCTGAAATCCACACGCGCTCAGGATGAACATGCAGACTCCGCACACACTGCGCAAAACAATCATCATCATTCTTGCTATTGGCTCATTCGTAGGCCGTGGGGCGAGTTTGTGAGGAATTAAACAAAAATGAGAGAGGTGTGGAAATGTTTTGTCTTCCACAAAGACGATTATGAGCAAAAGCGAGTGATTTGTTGCTGCTGCTTTGTTTATGTTGGCTGACAGCTCACAGCGACACCAAATTATCTGACAGACTGTTGGCTATATAGTTCATTTTAAACTAAAATTTCACAAAAACTTTAAATATCGCAATGTGAGCTTTTTCTAGCATCGCTCAGCCCTACTCAAAAACACACAATACAACCACAAACAAGTACTCTATGGTTATGTACCGTGTTATGTATGACGATGTGGGTAAACGACAGAGCAGACCTTCATTTTAGGGCCGATTCATTTGACATACAGGAATCGTAGAGAGTAAAATAAGCAAAATAATTTAAGTCATAGAGTACTTGTTTGTGGTTGTATTGTGTGTTTTTGAGTAGGGCTGAGCGATGCTAGAAAAAGCTCACATTGCGATATTTAAAGTTTTTGTGAAATTTTAGTTTAAAATGAACTATATAGCCAACAGTCTGTCAGATAAGTGATGAGAGACAGGCTAGGCTACTCCAAGCGACTAACTTCGCGTTATTGGGTAAGTCCGTTCAAACCCCCTTCTTCTTTTAAGATGTTTTGTCATTGCAGTCGTGCTGTGGTGATATTTTCAGTTCTGCTTTGCAATACTGACAGACGACTGCATTCTCGTTCACTTTTAATGTGAAGTGCGTCCACACAACTGATGCCTTTTCTCTTCATTCGGGACCTCATCCTGCACGTCTGCCTTCCGCTGTATTGCAGAGTAATCGGGAAGGAAAATTTTTAGTAAATGATTTTTAATAATTGAGTAACTGAGTTTAATCGAGTAATTGTGGCAACTCAAACAAAAGACCAGCATATGACGCCGTATTTATATGAAAAGAAAAATATGTAGAACTGAAGTGTCTCTTCTCCTAAAAACACAAAGAAGCACCTGAATAGTGAAACCAGCTTGGTTGTGCTTATTTCTACATTGCAGTGAATATAAACGGCAGTGAACATTTCTGATACATTAAGAGTAAAAGTTACGATTTGTTTCTGTTCATTTCAGAAAAGCATTTTTGTTGTCTGTGGTGTTTTTAATCCCCTATTGTGGCTCCGCACAGTTTGTACTGAAGCTTGGTTTGTTTCACTTCAAACGTGACACATTTTATCCTACCTAAAGGTAACTGTAAGGCTAACACAGACATACCGGCAAAACTGCTTACAGACAGACGTCAAGGGCGAAACCTGCTCTCTGTCTGTCAGATGGATGCATGGTTGCATTTGAAGTCAGTTAGATCAACATTATCCAATCATGCACAACTACAGTCAGCACTAACTAAAGATACTGCATCTGATTGGATGCATTTCAAATTCGTAGCTTCCTAACATTTTTGTCTATTTCTTGTGTCAACCTCATAGTTAATAATCAATTTGTAATCTCTGTAATTTGTATTTTATTATATTCTTGTTTCCTTAATGAAAATTCTTCGTTGACACATAATTTTGGTTATAGTTTGGTCCAGCCATAGTAACACCTCCCACCCCCCCCCTCCCAGTATGGCACCCTCCGGTTTGTGTGCTTACCTGTCACTGGAGGGGCTTGGTGATTTTTCCAGGCAGGCAGCTCCCTGGCCAGCTTTCCTGCCAGGTAATACTCTGCTGCCTTGGTAACCCTCAGGTGCAGGGTGGGGGGGCAGATCCCACAGAGGATGCAGCTTAAAGTGGAGAAAGAACTGAGTCTCCCCGAAATGGCCTCGCAGATTTAGGCGGGGGGGGGGGGGGGACATTGCGGTAATCAGACAGCAGGTGGCGTAATGGTTAAGGAACTTAGCTTGTTTATAGTATCCACTTTCTGTGCGGGATCTGGGTGGATGACTGGTTCACCATATACCTCCTGCCTGTTATTCCCAAAAGAACCCGCCAGACTTTAAGGCTTCGGAGAAACACCAGTCTGCTTCCAGTCCATCGGCAGGCACAGAAAGCAGTGACAGACAGATACACAGACCTCTCGGGCCAGGGGCTGAATGGGCTGCAGTGTATAAAATGCCCCCTTACCACCACCCCCTGGACGGGTGAGAAGTCTCGGCCCAGCATGGCCCTGTCGCCGTCGTGAGCACGCACATGTACCGGGCTAGAGCCCATTAAGGTGGAATAAAACATCAGAGGGCACCAGTCCCGCCCACCCGCGACCGGCACTCCATCAGCAGGCTGCCGGCCGCCACTGATCAAAGCCGCTCCTTCAGATGGACTCTAATAATGGCCATCTGTCACACGGCTGCTCCCCCCCCCCGCAGTTCTACTGGGGGGGTGTCTTAGGCTAGGGTGAAATGGATGCATGCACACACACACACACACACACACACAGACAAACAGTCACACACACACACACACACAGACAAACAATCACACAGACACACACACACAGCCAAACAGTCACACACACACACAGACACACACACACAGACAAACAATCACACAGACACACACACACAGCCAAACAGTCACACACACACACAGACACACACACACAGACAAACACACACACAGACAAACAGAATCAGACACACAAACACAGACGCTCTGTTAAAAAGCTCTGTGTCTCGTTTCCTTTTACGCTCCTCAGTGTCGATGGAGGCCTGATGCTCCTTATCCGTCCTCTTTAATTCTGCCCCATTAACCTGGGTCGGGCTTCTCTGGGTCCTGTGGCTCAGCCTGTAAGAGCTGGGAGCTGTGGAGTGGGGGCGGTCATGAGACTCGAGGGTGGGGCATGTTGCCCCCAAAGAGCCCTCTCCATCTGCCTTTATTTTGGTGGGGGGCACCGTTTTAGGCTGCCCCCCCTGGGGTGCGTTTCAGGAAAACTGAAAGCCAACATCCCTCCACCAGCTTCTGCTCTTAGTTTATTATTGTTAATAAAATCACTTTCATGCAACTTTAAACAGGCTCCACCCATCCGGGCTGCAGCCACCCAATGGCCCCGCTGTCCCCCTCTTCCTCTCTTCCTTCATCCTTCTCTCCCTCCCTCCATCCCTCTGCCGGCAGTCATCCCCGCTCTCCCTCTGTCCCTCTTTCTCCTGTGGAATGAGAATCGGTGGTAGGGCTCGGGAGGGAGGCATTGTGGGATTGTTGTTCTGTCTTAGGCTTTAGGCATGAAGATGTTTTAATACTGTTACAGCGTGTTCTTACCTCACACGTACTCAGCTTGGGGAAGCAAGAGACCTCGGAGAGAAGGAAAAGAACAAGAAGAAGGGGGCACCTGCCAGAGGGATTTGAGACTGTTAAGCCCAGGATGATTAGAGAGGGGGCTTAAGGGAATGCGTGCGAGGGGCAGGGTCTATCTGCTCACCGTCTGTGAGGGGCGGGATCTATCTGCTCACCCTCTGCGAGGGGCGGGGTCTATCTGCTCACCGTCTGCGAGGGCCGGGGTCTGACTGCTCACCGTCTGCGAGGGGCGGGGTCTGACTGCTCACCGTCTGCGAGGGCCGGGGTCTATCTGCTCACCGTCTGCGAGGGCCGGGGTCTATCTGCTCACCGTCTGCGAGGGCCGGGGTCTATCTGCTCACCGTCTGCGAGGGCCGGGGTCTGACTGCTCACCGTCTGCGAGGGCCGGGGTCTGACTGCTCACCGTCTGCGAGGGCCGGGGTCTGACTGCTCACCGTCTGCGAGGGGCGGGGTCTGACTGCTCACCGTCTGCGAGGGGCTAACTGATATTTGTTAAAAGACATTTTTTCTTCCACACTCCATCCATCCTTCCCCCCCTTCTTCCCTCTCCCTGCAGTCACCCAAAGGCCTGGCTTTCCCTCTCTTCCTCCATCCGTCCCTCCCTCTCTCTTTTCCTCACTGAGCCAGCACCGCATTTCCCCATGGCCTCGGGTGCTGGTGTCTTTTATCATTGCGGTTTCCCTCTCAACCTCTAGGCGCTCATACTCACTCGCCACAAATGCACACAACGCAAAACTTTTAAACTACACTACACACTCTCTCGCACTATCCATCCATCCATCCATCCATCCCTCTGTCTCTTCACTCAATTTTGGCCATCATGGAGTCCCCTTCCTGGCTGTCTCACTTCTTTCACAGAGTGGGGGGGGGGGCTTGTTTATCCCCATTAGAGGCTGATATCACCATGAGAAGCCGAGTGAAAAGTGAATTTATTGTCCTATAAAAACCACAAGTTATTTGTAAAGACAGGTTCAGGAAAATTACCTTTCTTTCTGTCCTTAAACAAACTTTCTGTTTTAAATCTGCCAGTGTGGTGCAGAGGCAGGTAAATAATCCCTGCTGTTTTATCAGCTGTCAAAAACCGCGTCGTGTCGCTGGTGACGAGGGCAGGGCCACCTCAGGGTGCTGAGCTGCCAGACCCCCCCGTGACCTTAGGGACTTTCAATCAGGTTGGGTAAGATCAACCCCCTTTGAATGACACAATTCATTAGCTTAGCGCTAATTCAAATTAGCCGCCCTGATGTTTACATGGCTATGAGGACGTGAACCTCAGGCTTTATAACCCTGTTCTGCTGATTTTATTGCCATGTGGTTCGTGCTCTGGTTCTCAGAGACCCGCAGACAGTCCACATTTTTACTCCACAATAATGTGGACTGTCTGGCAGGGGGCTGGGGGGGAGAAAAAACAAGAACCGTCTGTGGGTCCCTGAGAACCGGGCTGGGATGCACCGGCTTAGGGAATTGCTTGTATTTTGCTATTTAAATCTTACACCAAGATGGAAGAATGGCATTTGAGCTGGCTCCCCCACCACTAACACCTCCCGCTGTTGATTCTCACCCTCACACTGCTCAGCTCAAGGGTACAGCGGCCTCTGCAGAGTGTCTCTCATCCCCGCCTTGCCTCCCCCCCCCCCACAAGGAAGTCGCAGACATTACTGGCCAAAGCTTTCGGCACTTGCACGGAGATGAGGATCCAATTACGGAGAGCAGCCAACTGCATGCTGGGTGTTGGGGGTGGGGGGTGGGCTGGGGGCAGATTACCTGAGTGTTAATTAGTGGGGTGGTGTAAACCATGTCGCCTGTCAGCCAGCGGGGGGGGGGGGGGGGGGCGGGGGGGGCATGGCAGACCAGGGGGTCTCAGCTTGAGTTAAGGGCATGACTCATAAACTGACTGCCTGTTCTTGGGGGAGGGGGGGTTCATGCATTTTTATGGGTGGTTGTAGCCCGTATGTCCTTGTTATT